AGGTGCTGATCCCTCCCTCCTTAATAAAGCCTCCACTTGTCCCAGTGACAGAATATATGGGAATGGTTCAAAGCTGCACCAGGGAAGGTTTAGACTGGACATTGGGAAGCATTTCTTTATGTAGAGGGTGATGAAACGGAGAGGTGGTCTGTGTCCAAACTTGTCAGTGTTTAAGAGGCATTGGGAGAACGCCCTTTAACAGCTTGCTTTAACTTGTGGTCGGCCCTGAGGTGGTCAGGCAGTTTTCTAGATCGTCATTGTAGGGCCCTTCCAACTGAAACAATCTATTCTACATGTTGGGAATCGGGGCACCGAATGAGCAACTAAAATGGGCAAGAACTCTGTTGACAGAACTTGTGTGTGCCACAAAGCCTAAATAACAGTGCTTGAGACTCAATAAACACTTAAAATACACTTGCAAGCTTGACAGAAGCCAGCTTGACTGTGAAACTGCAGTTTTAAAGGTGGTGGAGGAGAGAGCAAAAATTTTGGCTTACAGTGCTGCTGTGTTCACTGGAAAGCAAAAGAGCATCAGCACATCACAGAAGAGGCAGTCTTTATTTGGACATATCTGCAGTTTTCCATCGCACCGTTTTCTTCATGTTCCTGGATATTCTCTCTTATATATACATGAATATATGTATACACATGCACATATAAAGCATACTCTCAAATGCACTATTCTTTTTTGCTGAAAAATTGTTCCCTTTTTTTCACAATCCAGATGGCAAAATGGATAAATACCAAAACCTGCCTATCTATGTACTAACACGTTGCAAGATGTTCTTTGAAGTCTCCTGCATACAAGGAATCTGCAGAGCTCTTGTTCGACATCTTGTCTCATCTGCAGGGTCAGTCACAGGAGGATTGGTGCTGGCTCAAGCACAAGCCTGTCTTGTGATGACAGGGGACACATCCCCCAGGTATTCCTGGTAACCTGACTATTGAAACTCTATGCTGATACCTGGAAGCAACTGGCAGTTGTGTTTCTGCTCAAGTCTCAGAGGAGCACACAGTCCTACCAACTCAACCCGAGGTGGTAACTGCATTTGTAGGTTTGGTGAAATTGATCCATATCCACTACTGGGCCATAATATAAAGACTGATTTATTTATTCAGCAGCTAAAACTCACTTTCAAATGCTCAATGTATCCTCAGGAGACAGTTCAATCCTGATTTGAAGCTCTGGGCTGCAGCCAGGGAGCCCTTTTCCATGCATTCCAAGTGCACTTTAAAACCGCCTTGGGTGGTGATGTGCATTTTGTTTCAAGTTGCCTTCCTGTGCTTTCCACATACAGCTCACTCTATTTCCTTGAGTACTTACAACTTCACTCAACTGGCTGATCAGCCTCACTGCGCTGGCTAGAGTCTCTCAGCAGAACTGCACAAAGCTGCTGCAGATAACCTGGTGTGCTCCAAAAAGGTACATGGTGGGATATCCCAGAAAACCCCCATTGCTTGGCATGGTCAGTATGGAAATGTTTGTGCTGTGTTTGGAGGCTTAACAGCAAATTAAAATAATGAGGTAGTTTTTTTTACACATTTGGCATTCCTGCTTTGCTCCAAACTGTGCTGGGGAGATGACTGTTCTATCTTTGGCATGGTTGCATTTCCCTATGGCTGCTGTAGGAGACACTTTTGGCCAGAGCAGAGCCTTTTAGGCTTGTCAGCATGCTGGTGTGTCTTAAGATGTTCTGCTGCTAGAGACCTGGCAATGGGCATTTACCAATCTACCTGTCTCACATGTGATGCTTTCTTGGGGACTCTGCTTGTTTTGGTACTGGCATTGTTCAGTTTTCTTCCCATTTCAATGTCAAGGGGGAAGCACCTGGCACAACAGATACTGTTTTGCCTTGGAGTCTTGCAGTCCTCGTAAACTGCACCACAAAGGTACCTACAAAGCTGATCTAAAAGGCAGCACCATGACTTACAACCAGGCAGCATACCTGCCTTCCAGCTCCCACCTGCAGGATTATTTGGTTTTTTAAGGCTTTCTCAGTTAACAGATGCTGCATATTTGACCTTGGGTATGCTCTTGGATATGGCAGTCAAACCATTAGCCCAGTGTGAAATGTTCCTTTCAGTGCACGTATTTTCTTGTTCTGTTGCAGATTCTCACTGAAGATGTAAATGCTCCATCAGTGGGTTCTGGGTGCCCTGGAGCAGGGCTTTGCTTCATCCTCTGAAGCTGGGCTGTTCTGTATGGAGCAAACCTTCAGCAGGCTTCAGTGTGTGCTTCAGTCCCTTCCAGTTGCTGCTTTAATGATGTTTTATTTAAATAATCACTGGAGCAGAGGCCAGAACTCAGGTTCCCCCCTCCCTTTGCTGTTCAGGGGCCACAGCACTGCCCTCTTCCCAGCTGGGTGAATATTCCACCTTGTAAGACCCAGGAAAAATAACCTCATCAGGAGAACCGAGCCACTAACCCTGATTACAGCAATTACCAAGAAGTGGAAATTAAGGGTCAGGTCTCCCTCAGTAAAGGCAGGAATCTGAGACAGATTTTCCTTGTAGAAGGTCATAGCATTAGCCACTGTGCTGCTAGAGATGGCAGATGGGAAACTACCCTTAAAAGCTCTAAAAGTTGTCCTCAAAATACATGGCTGAGATTGGGCCCTGCTGTAACATAGCTTATACCTGTGTACAAATACCAGTTACGCTGCATTATGAGGGCTGAAACAATCTCAGCATCAGCATTAAAAATTCATTCTTAAAAATGCCTCATTTGGAGGGAGGGGGGAAGGAAAAGAAAAAAGGGGTTGTGTTTGCCAGCTGGGTCTCCCTAAGCGCTCAGCTCATTTTGTTTGTTTCCATGAGTCATTTTTAGAACAGGCAACAATAATCTAACAATACTTGAGTCATACGTACTCCAGAGCCAACTTCTTAGAGAACACAGCTTTCCTGAGGAGAGTGGAAAAACAGCCTAAAAGGAGAAGTGCCTCTCTAGCTTTTGTACATTACAAGAAGTTCTGCTTTTAAAAAAGTGGTTGATGGAACTGGCTTTTGAAAACACAGAAAACAATACTTCCTGTATATCCCCTCAAATTTGAGACCTAAAAAGGCATGGGACAGAAAGGGGCTGTTGATTTAAGACAAAGAACCCCCATGCCCCCCTTGAACAAGCACACGGCTGCTAACTGCATGCTAATGCCTCATGCTCCAGCGCAGGTCAAGACAAATGCGAAGGGAAATGAGCTGGGGCTCGTTTCTCCCTTTATCATGCTGTGAAGTGCAATCTCGGCATACAGCTTTGGCTACTCTCATAGAAACAGCCTTCCTGCAACAAAATACAGCCAGTCCTACCTTCTGCTTCTTAGTAACACCGTCATTTCTGAAAATCAGGTGCCAAGAGATCCTAAACTAAAACCCCACTCAGTTTTCCCCCTCTGCTCACAGCTCCCCCAGTGCAATACTAGCTGTAAGGGACTGATTCAGAGTTCCTCTGTGGAGACAAAGCTTTTTCTGCCTGCTTTTCCCCAAAGCAGCTCAGCTTCCAGGATGTGACAGTTTGTTGTGGGAAGGCCCCATCTCATCGCCTGGAAACAGAGTAATTAGGGAGTATCAATTCCAAACTTATGCAACCAAGGCTAAGTTTTCATCTGACCTCCTCAGATGGGAAGGGCTCCAGCTAAACATTCTGTGCTGCTTTACAGCACAGGGAGTTCTTCCTTCACCTGAAAGAATTGTTTGTTCTGAGGCTATACTATAAAAAGCTGTTCTGCATTTGTAAGAAGTAAAAAATATTACACAAACCTCTATGATAAATACAACTCTATGCAGCATGAACAGACTATTAAGAACATCAGTTTATATAAATATGTAAGTGACAAAGGAACAGTCTTGCTCTCAGTAAATCACAGCCAGATTTCTTTTTCAGCCACAAGAGATCAAATCTAACTCAAAAGAGCCAAACCATCACTTCTGTTATCTCCACAGAGAAGTGGCCAGTATGAGAAGTAAAATACTGTTGCCCCGAACGTATTTAACTGCTTTAACTAAGAAAGTTGCTTCATCCATATAAACAGATGCTGCGTGTTAAAACAAACCTCAGTCAAAAGCATAATGCAGGAGGCTAGAGCAAAAACTTGATGCAGATGGCTGGTTTATGCCTTTGACAATAAGACTTATTTTCCTCTCTCAACAATCTTTTCTCTTTTACAAAGAAGAAAACTTCCTTTTTAATGCAAATACTGTAAGAGTGCCAGAAACAAAGTTTTTAAACTTTTCATTTTTCTAGCAAAGCAGACACAATTCATTTTCTTCTGACCTGTTTTATTAATTTCAAGCAGCAACCTTTAATCTCAAGAGCACCATGCTTAACTGATCGTCTCTCTGACTGTATCTATTGAAAATAACTGTTCTGAAGCTTTCAGTAGTAGCACCTGCACCTTACGCTCACATCTGCTGTAGAAAAGCACGTGGAAATCCGAGGCCAGGTAACTTTCTCCCTGCGCAGCTGCTTCCACTTGACTGGAATGAGTCACCTGTCTCTAAACACTGTGTTTAGGCCTTAAAGGAAAAAGAAACCTGATGCAGGTGAGTATCCTTTTGCTCTGCACCATCACGGTTAGCAACTGCATTGAACAAACTGTTTGTAAGAAAGCAGTTGACCCAATGTAGTCTTAACACAAAAAGTTATTGACCACGTCCAATACAATTTCACTTTCCTGGCCCTGCTTTACTGAAAACGTAAAAATAGCTGACCAAGATTGTAAACTTCAGATGTAAACTTTGATAAACTAGGGACAATTTGAAAAACTAGGGAGAGCACTGCAAAGACAATTTAATAGAGAATCGTTAGAGCACAGTGGAGAAGTATCTATCAAGAACGTATTTGTTGTTTAAACGGTTGTTCTGTTTGTGCAGGTAAACAAGAACTTGGGAAGGAAATAGTTTAGCTACAGAAACATGTCTTTTGTAGCTACATCTGGAAACAGGACAAGGAAAAGGTCTCAGTATAGACTATAAACCCATCACTGAAATCAAATATATAAACTGAATATATTAAAGCTTTGGATTTTATTACACTTAATTTCTTCTGAATATCTTACCCTTCTCTCCTGTTCCAGGTAAACCTAAACATGAGAAATGGAAGGATAAAGGAGAACTCCACTAAACGTGGAGTACATTTCGTCAGAGTCTGTGTAGGCCAGCTTGCCTCCTGTTACGACGACGTTTACTTCATCTCCCGCTTTGAGGTGAAGAACAAGGTGGAACGTCCCAGGACCACCACAGGTCTGTTTCCCTGAGTAGGGTTTGTGATACTCCAACAGTTCCCTTCTGTATCCAGCCGTGTGGAGCTGAGCTACGCTTGCATTGGAGACAGAAAGCACTGCTTCTACATACTCATCCCTCTCCGGGGCCAGCACAGCAGTGATCAGGTAGCGTCCTTCATACGGTGATGTGAAAATGCCTGCAGAAGAGTTCTCAGAGTTATTCAGAATGGAGAGACCTAATTGCTCCAAGTACAATGACAAACATAAAATGATATGGGTTACCCTTTGCTATGTACAGATAACTGTGACATGGTCAGCCTGGATAGCAGACCAGCTGATAGCAGTCATGAAGACAAAGGGTTACTGCTTTTATACTACAGCCCACAGGTCCTTCGGAACCTCCTGGCCTAAGCAACCACCATGACTCAGAGCTGGGTGATGAGGTGAGAGGCACCCACACGCTGTGCTAGTCCTCAGTAGGTTAAGGCACACCTAACACCCTTGAGTGACAGGACTCTGCCTGAGGAGGGGGCAACCCGCAGGTACTACTACTGCCTCTCCCCGGGTGACCCATCTGGCTGAGCTGCAGCGAAGTGGGTTAGCAAGGAACCTCACCTCTACTACCTGGGCTCAGCCAGCCTGAGGTGGGTGAGGAGCAAAACCAGCTGTGCTGGCAGAGCTGACACAGTGCTGAGTGGGCCTCAAAATTACCAGACAGCTGCAGAAAATCAGTAGTGGCAAAGTGTGTGCCTGTCCACATCCATGGGAAGCTTTTATTGCAGGTTTAGATTAACTTGTTTGTTCAATGCACCAGCAAGGCCTGAGATAGCACCAAACACTGGTAACCCACGCTACTGCCTGTCTGGCATCTCTGTGGGTCCATTCTTTGGCTGTTACCTGTATTAGGGTTGTAATAGTCCCCGTCGTTCACAAGCACTTTGTTAAAGTGAACCACGCCAACATCACTGGAGAAAGGCTTCTGTGTGAGCCCAGCAGAAAATGACACCAGAGAGGCCGCAGCGGCAGCAGGTCCTAAAATGGGTAACAACATGAGTCAGAGTCACATCAGGATGACAACACAGCCTCTCCCTGTGATGGTTTATAATCCACCGTCTCTGTTCCTGCACATACTCCACTTGGATAAATCCTGTCTCTTGAATTAGCAGAATACGAACTGCTGGCCCAGGTCCCATGTATCTCACTGTAAAATTTACTAAGCACCACAAAATTGCTGCCTTGACCACAGCACCCCTGGGTTTGGGTTGGGTTGTGTTATTTTTTTGGGTTATTATGAGGAAAAGGTACATGGCTTGTAAATGCTGGCAGTGGAAATCCTGCCACCTCTCAGTTCAGCAATGCTTTTGCCATGGACTTTCTTCAGGATCGAGGCTGCCCTTGGACATCTCCACTCTCCATCACTATCACAATGACAACAGGTCAGCTTTCCTAGTCACGCTGAGAAGCTGCACACAGCTTAGATCTCTCACCCTCTCTGCTGAAGCGTAGTGAAAATAGCTACAAGAAGAAACACTTTGGCATTATAGCAAAGAGAATCATCACTGGGGCTTTTCTCTCTCTCCAGCACTTCTCTCTTGGAGGACTTTTCATCCCAGTTTTAATTTTCTCAGCAGATCAGTCACTCCAGTATTTTATAGTGGCTACTTGCTTACTACCTAAGCACTGCTGCTAGATGAAATACTATTTGGACAATTGAGACAGATTTTTACATTTAACAGACTGGTTTAATGGCATTTAGTGATCGATCACTTAACTTACGTGTTCCACTTTAGTTCCTTTTGCTCTAAACATTTCCCTTAAAGTAGGACACACTGCTAGAAGCAGTCAACTATGGTTGCTTTGTTCGGGCTATTAGCTAAACCACAAATGCACTTAAAGTTGCCCTCAGTTGCTCCTTCTGTTCTGTGCTGTTCAGGTTAGGATCCGTATCTTCTCTGTGCTCTCAATCTGAGATGCCCATCAGCAACCAATGTTTAAGATTGTATCCCGTAAAAATTGAAGTTAAAAAGTGACAAAACTTCAACTAAAATGTGGATATGCAAATGCTCTGCTATCGTTTTTTGTCTGAATAACTTGGCATTGGGGGTGGGAGGGTAAGGCAAGGTGAAGACATGCCTGCAACTTCAGAAATGGCAAATAACTACCTTGACTTCCCTGAGGGGCTGGTAACCAGCTGCCTCACGTATCTTTGGAAATCTCTTTAGTCAGTATTCTGTCTCACACTCTGAAAACAGACAGAAGCCCTTTTTCATTACTCCTACCTGCAAGTGTGCCTGCAGGGGCTCTTGTAGGTTAAGATGAGGTGATTTGAAAGGACCAAAATTAATTGCAGGAAGTCTACTTAAGAAGCTTCTGTAACGCTCCGTTATTTTAACACCACACTACTTATAGAAAGCATCTCTTTGTATTCTTTGCCTATCCTGAGATTCAAATCAACTGAAAATGCACTCAACTAACTTTTTGTTGGTTTCTCTCCCCTGCAGTCGTACTGCACAGATGACACATACTATTTGCTGCCTGCCCAGAATACACTGTCCTCTCTGTTTGGAGTAACTCCAGTTCTGTCTGGTTTGGTGTCATCTGAACAAGGGAGCGACTCCTCCCCTGGCTCGCCCTGGCTTCCTTCAAGATTTTCCTGCACTAATTACTAGCATAGTTATTAGAGTTTGCTGCCAAAATGGCTTCAGATCAGCAGCCTAGTTTAGCACACCAACTGGGTTTGTCCAAAGGAGAAATCTTAAACCTGTCCAAGTATTCTGATCAGTTCAATGGGCAATGTAAGAAGGCACAGTAACAATGCAGTGTGTCTATGTTCTCTTACCCTCCTCTCTGCCCCCAGCTGGAACTGTGCCAGTTTAAAGCTTTCACAAGTGCTACCACCAGCTCTCAGCAGTGCTTTTGCAGAGCCTTACAGACAGGTGAACTACCTTGTCTTACATGTCCTCACTTGTAAACACTTCATATATGCCAGCAGGAACAGGTATGCCTGTTCACGGCAATCTAAGCTAGTGTAATGCATTCTGGGAGGTCAAAAGACGAGAGAAGATAACATGGGTGGCCTTTGTTAGGTTTCATCTACTTTCACCCATCTGCTAGCTGTATTTCTGGTTCTCTACCTCCCTTTTAACTTCCCAGCACAGTTCATGCTTCCCACAGAGCCCAAGGGCCAGAAGGAGAAAAAGAAGAAAAACAAAACCCAACCAAAACAGAACAGTGCACAGCACAGACATTTTCTATCAAGATGAAAGGAGAAAAAAAAATAAGAGTGTGATGGTACTGCTGACAACTGCACAGCAACTGGAACGAGGACTCTTCAAGAATCTACACAGCAGAGAGACCATAAATACATAATTCATTTGTCAGTATGCACTTATGACTCCTTGCATACGGCAGGAGTAGGGACGATACATCAGATTTCCTCTGCTTGGCCAATACCCCTAAATCTAAATGAGGGCAAAGTGCATCATTTCAGTCAAGCTAAAGGGGACAAAATATCAGCAATTTATCACCTCCCTGCTCCCTTTTCCCATTTTTTGGGTTTGTTTTTTGTTTGTTTGTTTGTTTTTTGGGTTTTGTGGTTTTTTTTTAAACTCTTCATTTTTAACATAACATCCCATTTTCATGAACATTCCCTCTGCTTATGGGAAGGCCATGCAGAGCAGCACAGTGCCACACTGATTTCCATTAGCCAGTGCTCAATGAAGCTGGGCCCATTATCTTCTACTCTGCTAAATCACAGTGGTTTTGATGCCAATGGTAACTCACTCAGTGCATTAGCAAGACACAACTACTTTTCTCCTGAGTCTGTTGGTAACAGCTCTTTCGACTCTAACAGCTCCTACCTCCCAGATTTCAGCAAGAGGTTTTTCCCAGCACTTATCTACTGCTGCTTACACAACCATCCACCTTCTACCCCATCCTTCAGCACACAGAATTGTGCAGTTCTTTCATGCAAGTAGCAGCTAAACACAAACACTGGTGCAACATGTTCTTTACCTCAGAGTCAGCAAACATGCTTTCCCCTGTGCTAGAGCACTGATGTTACTAATGAGAATAGTGCTTCCTGTCCAGTGATTAAAAGAAAGAGCTAAACATGAGCAGAACCTGCCACAAGCACAACAAAGTAATTTATGTATTCAGTAAACTCTTTCTTCAAATCAAAGACCACCTACAACAATATAAATCTTACATTAAAATAAGGTTGTGCCTTTATATTTGAAACGTCCTATAGGCTTGCTGCCTGGAGTCACATGGAAAAAGTAAAGATGCTTAGTATCAGACAAGTAAAAGGTATTAAAAAAGACTAAATCAGCCCTTTCCTGCACATATCCATACAGCAACATTCACACAGCAATAGGACTCACTAGATCAGCTGTTTTCTTTTAGAGAGGTGCAACAGCCTCCACTGAAGCTGCAGGGTTAAGGACACAAGCAACACTGAAGGCAGCATGAAGGGGGAGGGTGAGAAAAGCAGTTTGTGCTTTCAGTGATTTTTTTTCACTGTGACCCTCTGTATGCTAAAATCCAAATCCTCTTCTTGGCTCTGTCCTTGCCTAGTTGTGTGACCTGGGATTTTACAAGCATTTTCTCATCAGTTCCTACACCAGTTCATCAGCCAATTTGCTTCTGCAATTTTCTTTGCTTCAGCAAACAAAAATTCTCATAACTGTAAAACTGCCATGCTTCAAAAACATTTCCTGCTGATGTTTCTTTAAATAATAAGTGGTTCAACTCTTTTTGTATTAAAAGGGATTAGCTGGATGCACTGAGGTCCTGACACTTAACTCACCTTTTTCATAAACTCCTTGCCTGTAAAAATAGAGCTTGTATGTAATACTGTACCTTATACTCTCTCACTAATACTTGTTAGGTCCTCAAAAATCTTTACCTACCACACTGTATTGTGAGATGCGTGCAAAGAGATAGCTAATGCATCTGAAAATCTCAAGAAATACTATGCTATTTAAAGTATGCAAATTGTGCCTCAGCATTCAAGAAGAGCACTGAAGTGGGACAGTTTAATCCCAGAGGAGAGTTGGAGCCCTCAGCTTCTTCCTGAGAAGAGCTTTTTATGTAACAGAAGTTACTCAGAAACAGAAGTGAAAGGAAGTACTCAGAAGGCCAATTTAATAGTACAAGCTGCTTATTTTAGGAACTATCGTACAGGAAGGTCTGATCTTTCAAATTTGAATTTCAGTGCTACAAAATGCACTGGGTGAAGACTGACAAAGACATCATAAACTGCACAAATCAGATATTAAGGATTCCTTGATGCCTTATTTAAGCATTAATTTCTTCCTCCAATAAGCCAAAAATCTTGCCTTCCCCAGCTGTTCACTTCCACCTCAACACTGTTAACTCCTGAATGCTACCTCAGAATGCTCCTTCTTTGCTGCTTACAAGCAAACACTGATCATTATGGACAGTGGATGTAAATGCTCTAACTCCACAGGAAGTCCAATAGTTATCTGCATCATCCTTACCTCCCTGTTTTCTATGACTACCTACCAGTGGGGTTTGCAAAGCATTCTGGGGGAAGTTAAAGGACAGATCAGAAGGTACATCTTATATTTAGATGGGTCTTCTGGGGCAGAGATCAGAAAAAGGAAAAGCTTGGTCAAGCCCACCCCTCTCTGGATCCCAGATGGTAACATTACTTACAACATGTTCCACCAAGCAGCAACTGGCCCTCTGCCTGCCAAGCCCTGCCTTTTCAACACTTAACATCCGCCTACTGTTTCACACAGTTTTAACATAAACTGATTAAAATACTGCTGTCTATGAATGGCACAGATTGTACAAAGTGGAAGAAAACCCCCAGGAAATCCATTTATCACAGAAATCTAGACATCTATATTGGCTATGCTGGCATCAAGATAAACATTTCTTTACTTCTTATCCTCTTCCAGAAGCCTCACCTATTGCTGCTTGTTCTTACCACCAAATGCAAAGAAGATTGCTTTAAGGCTATGACAGACTTTTAATTAGAAAGCATAAATATCAGGATTTCAGTGTCAAATTTTTACTACTCTTTTTTGTCAGTACCCGGACCACTCTTTATGATGTGCCCTCAAACTAAGTCCCAAGGGTAGGATTTTGGATGCCATAAAGCCCTAATGTTTTATTTTCATCTATTTCCCATATTTCCTCAAACAAATTTAGATGAAATCATTCTTTTTGAAGAGGGTGTGGGAATATTCACTCTGATCCAGAATACCAGATAATATCTTGAGTATGAGGTTGTGGGGCAGGCAGCACCCAATCAACACATTTATCAAGGCCAAATAGCATGTCCCATACAAGATTTATACCTGTTTATCATACAAATCCATAAACGAGCTTATTTATAATTAACAATTATAAAAAATAAAAATTAAAGATCAAAGTAGGAAAACTACATTTTGAATGTTTTTAAGCTGTGGTTGTCTGTAGCAGCACTCTTGCTTTCCAAGAGGTCAGGAACACGAGACCTCATGATTCTAACAAAGACAGAAACTGTCCCACAAGGAGAACTAACACATGCACTAGCTCAGATACTAGCAGTGGTTCAAGATCTTAGTCTCAGCTTTATTCCTATCTTATTAAAGAAATATTAAATTTTTCAGAAAGAAATATGTATTTTAGCATTTAAAAGGAAAATAAAGGTCAGCACTAACTTTTACTAGGACATAGAAACCCTCTGAATTAAAAAAAAAAAACACTGAAGTAACAATAACCCAAATTAATTATTTCCCAAAACCTCTGTATCTTGCAAGGATGCAGAATGTTTAAACGCTTAGGTACAGCAAAAATGTGACAGATTTTCCTCAATGCTAAACTTAAATACTAAAAATTAATGTCTCAACCATAACCTCCTAGGGACTGAAATAAACATTAAGTACCTGTGTAAAGAATTTCTAGGAAACAACTGCCTTACCTTGTGACTCCGTGGTAGCAGGAGATAACTTTGGATATCCTACAAATGAAAAGCAGTGCGTGTGACACAGGATATAATGTAATGGAATACATTATTACAAAATACCAATGCAGTCTTCTAAAAAGCATCCTTTGTTACCTAACAGCAACCTACTGAAATAGCTACTAAACAGCATCTCTTATGAAATGCTCAATTATCATTAAACGGGAGTGGTCGTGGTAACGAAAACCAAATTCCTACTACAGTGCTCTAAATCACTATGCGCTATGGCAAGAAAAAAAATCATTAAAGTTCCCCTAGTGGCGAAGCCGCTGTTGTTACCAATGATTTTACATTAGTCCCGTTGACCTCATGCTTTATGCAGCCTTGGCAAAGGCAACAGAAGTGGCACTGAATCTGTTTTCCTTACTTCTGTAGCCAGCTGGAGGCTGCAAAGGCCTGTTCACAGTGTCTCTGCCATAAGCCCATTCCCAACTGCAACAGCTATAATGGACATCCACTAAAGCTGAAAGGTGGCTGGAGAACCACAACAGATCTCGGTGCCACCCTTTTAACAAGACCTGGCTTGTCCACTGCACTTAAATGAGAATGATTCACTGTCAGTTTGGTTCTCTCACCTGGTGCTCCAGCGTACCCTTCAGCAATGGGCATAGTACTTTGACCAGCCTGACCATCTACACTTCTAAGGCGCCCTCTTCCTGACATTAAAACGGTGCCAGGAGGCCCTGCCTCTCCAGTCTCCAGGATGATCCCTGTTGTTCCAGGCAGAAATGGCACAACTCCTGACCCTGGTAGTGCTGGGCGCGGAGCAGGTCTCGGCTGTGGTGGCAGGAGGGGAGTCCTCTGTCGTGGGGGTTGTATTTGTATCCTTGGCCTTGATGGAAGCAAGGATATGCCAGGCTGGGGCTGCAGGGGTGGTCTTGGTGGCAATGGCTGCCGTGGTACTTCTGATTGCCCTTTGAAATGATGAAAGCAGAAAGGAAGATGCAGAATTATTCACCTAAAATAGCATTTTAAATTGCTTTTTTTGGGGGAAAAAAAAACAAACAAAAAACAACCCCAAACAAACACGGGAAAAAAAAACCAAACAAAAAACAACTTCAAAATAAAACAGGACTCAATTTGAGGCCACCTTTTCCCGCAGACCCAAGACTGCAGAGATAAAACTCCTTTCCACACGTGCAGTACTACAGACTCCCCTCTTTCCCAGCCTGTGACACAGGGAAAGGAATGAAGACAGCCTGGAGACAGGACAAGCAGCAGTCATAGAGTCATAGAATCACAGAATAGTTAGGGTTGGAAAGGACCTTAAGATCATCTAGTTCCAGATCCCCTGCCATTGGCAGGGACACCACACACTAGACTGCGTCACCCAAGGCTCAGTCCAATCCGGCCTTGAAAAACAACCTGGCTTAAGTCTAACAACCGTGAACATTCACCTGCTGGTCCAGCTTTGACTTGCTGCACCAAGCGGGCCTTGTATCCTACCTATTTCCTCTGCTGCCTTCATCTCCATTGCATGTTCTCTCCCTACCTTCACTTCAGTGTTCCTGAACCCCTCTTGCCCATCGCACCTACTTTTGACTCTGTACTCACACAACACTTAGCATAAGGCTGACCCTTTAGCACTATCATACCGAAAAATATCCACAGAAAAAAAAAAATTGAGTAAATGAACAGGGACTTAACAGATTTTTTCCCCTACTTTGAAAAGCAATAAACTTCTAATTCCAAGTATTCCCATTACTAATATTTTCTGACAACAAAGGCAGAACCCTACAATATAATCCACCAGAAAAGCCATTATTGTTTAAAGAGATACCATTAAAAGACTTTTCCAGTAGAGCAGCCAACACGTATGACATCAGGATTTAATACTGCTGACATGGTTACTTTTGTGTATCTGCTCCAGTTCTAAGCTCTTTATAGGAATTACAACTTATTTATAAGACTGAAGTCTTATATGACATATAAGGATGCAATGTCCTCCCAAGAATGAAGTTGAATTACACTAAGAACAGGAATTCACAAATGTGTAGATTTCAGCAATCCACACATTTACAGAGTAATGTGTCATTTCAGATGCTATGTCAGCTTTTACACAGAATAATTAGAATTTTATTCTAAATTAAACACTAGCATTGGTTATTTTGGTTGCATTTTCAGACTATAGCTTGAGGTGCAGGGATAGAAAGGAGTTTCTGCAGAAATGGACAAACATCCCCTTGCAAATCTATCTGATGCAACTCATCACACCAGAGATGCTTGCGATGGTCCACACTGGAGACCACCGCTCTGAGGACTCAGTGGTCAAAATAAACACTTCCATTCATCACAGTCCAAAATCATCCTGGGTAAATTTGCCACTGGCTAGGACTAAACAGACTGGCTCTGTCTAGCAGCAGACAGGGTGCAAAGCTTCCCCTGGCCCTCCTGCAGAGCTGGGGACACCCAGGAGTGCTTTACCCCATACCTTTGGGCAAGAGCCTACAACCAAGTCATGCAGGTATTGTCCATGACGCATGGCTGGGGCCAGACACTGTTGCTGGCAACCCACATGCTGTTCCGTGACTACTCAACACCTGCATTTTACCCTTGTGAATCTCATTCCTTGTTTTCATCTCATAATAAGTCCACATAAGCCTTCCAGAGAGGCTGTCTGAAGTCATAGCCTCACACCACCTGCATTCATTTACTAGATATGCCTGCTAGAAAAAAAATCTCCCTGAACTTTGCTGGCTGACTTTAACTGTCATGAGAGTCGAAACTAACGCAAGCAATGCACTGATAAACTGCACTGAAGCTTACTTCATAACTCTATCCACAAGGCAGAGAACTAAGGAGTGAAATGTTCACTTCATACAGATTACAGTTATCTTCATAAAAATCCAAGGATTAAAAAAATCTTATTAAATAAAAAGCTTAAAGTATCGAAGTGAATTATTTAACAGAGTTGTTAACTTGGTGAGACATCTTCTGTCCACAGCAGCATAGATTTAGACCATCAACTAAGAGCTTCAGATTAACCTCATTCAAAACACAAATTGACAAAGCACTTTACACCTTGGGATGCAAGTACTTGTCATTGCTCTAGTCAATTAAGCTGAGCTTTGTTAAGACAACGACTTGGACTGACACAGGGAAAATGAATACATTGCTCTGCTTGCTTTTCTAAACCTTCAAATAACAACTGCTTAAATCCCATATCCTGTGCAAACTGCTTTCTTGTATGCAACATCAATACTATAATATTCAGAATTGTCCAATTACATCTCCATGAAATTAAATCCAAAATCACCTGCCTAAAGCTCAACTTAAAGTACCAGCAATCAGATATGTGTGGATTGAGGGGGATCTGGTCTGCCATCTTTGCCAACCTTTCTGGCCTCTTCTGCTGAGGATGCATCATAGCAAGACACAGCACCGATAAATCACTAGACAAAGATGATAACACTGGAGCCACCGTATCCTGATGCTGCATTCACACATGTTTTCAATTCACAAGGCAGTGAGAAAATGAAGCCCTGACGAAGGCTGGAGTGAATCTAGCTGGACCTGCTTAAGCTTTGCGGAACAACAGGCAAAATGGAAATCTTCCCTGCCATCTTCCCAACTATCTGGGAAGGCAAAGAGCATAGCTGAGCTCATTACACAGCTGAGAACAGTAACACTGTCTTCAGCAGTGGCATCCTGGCTGCTCTGGTTATCATCACTGGTGTGACAACTTGGTTACCATGTCACACATCAGCTTCTGCTCTCAGATACCCATCTGCAAGTGAAACAGAACAAAAGGTTTCCCTCCTCGGCTGAAAATTTACTCAAAGAAGAAGGAATGATTTACAAGCAGTGACCTGGATGTATGAGGTGGGTGGGTCTTCAGGATGTGTCTGTTTCTAGTATCATCCTGCCCCAACCGTGCTCTCCAGAGCCCCCAGAACACATAGAAACAAAGCACAAAGAACAAACTAGCAAGTAAAAGAATCTGTCACTGCACTCAGAATAAGCCAAACAGACCTTACTGGAATTTTTTTATGGATACCAAAAGGATTTGACAATTAAGTTACAAAGTACAAGCTCACAGGGAGCCATGGGGGATTTACTATAGCTATGTGCCCTACAACACTAAGATTTTACGTTGTCCTTCATCAGTGTTGTAATGCAGAGCACACATTTGGTTTCTTAGGCCATAACTTCAGCAGATGACATTTTGCTGTTGCTTTCAAAGCCCAGATATAGACACAATTCCCAGAAGAACTGCAGTTCAGGTCAAATAACCGTAACCAAAGCAAACTGCACTCCCAGCATGGTATCTGGCTGCATGACCACAGCTGGGATTCCTGGAAAACTTAATGAATCTGTATGAATAGGCAGTAAGTTAAAAGAGACCACTAACTAACATGGCTGTCACTTTCTTGCCATTTGAAGAGCAAACGTACCTGCAGAGAGGTACAGAGTGCAGTGAGAACAACTAATCCTACAAGACATGAAGCTGGAGATGGTCACCATCTAATGTGGACAAAGAGCTGCTGGACTACATTACCTTGGTGAGCACGCGCATGGTTCCCTACACTCTTAGAGCAAATCACTGCCTGCTGCCACCATCACCCTGTGTATGGCAGGATGCTGTACTATTCTTCATCAGAAATTATGACAAATAAATTTCTGGCCCCTGGGTCCATATCTGACACATAATCAGTCACTAACCTGGCTTGTCACTTTGGATAGAGGCACTTGAAACCCATTAATTAAAGATTTGGGAAAAAAAACACAGGCATATTCATAAGATCAGGGTCATTTGATTTTGCTCTGGTTTACAGTGAGCTGGGCTTACACTGCTTGGTAAGATTTTATATCGTATTTCTTGCAACATATCCTTGCCTTACTGCTTTCTAAAACTGTTATTAGCAACAGCTTGTGTCTGTTTCGGCCCTTCTAAGGTCAAATGACATCATCTGAATGCTACGATACACTGGCAAATGGTGAATAAGAAATTCTACACTCATCTAAGGCCAGGACTGACAGTCTTCCTTTCAAATGTCGGTATTGGTGATGATGCTGCAGATCACAGATATGTAAACAGTTAAAGTCATACCCGAACTCACATAACTGGGTTCCCAAACTACGTCAAAAAAAGTCTCTTTTGCCAAAATCTTTCTGCAACTCCAGCCATCAAAACTTACTTAGACTGCTGTGCCAGACAGCGTTATTTTAATTGGAAACATTTAGGGACTGAAGTGTGTGCTTCACCAATCCTTCAGTGGTCAGACGCACCCCATCATAGGGAGGTTTGCTCAGAGTGCCTATTCCTCAGATCCAGCAGCAGCATCCTTCCACAGGCTCTCAACACCCAATGGTGGATCGAGAGCTCTGCCCTGAAACAGCATTATTTTATGGAAACCCAGGCATGCTGACGCTTGTTAATGCATTACAACATTGTAAGAGGGCAGATAAATACCACCCATGAGGCTGCTCAAACACCTGCTTTAAATAACACACAAAAGATTACTGTGTGTTTCTTGGACCTTTCTCCAACGTTGGTCCCTACTGCAAATTTATTCTGGGCAAGATGGATGAGAAATAGGATTACACAGGTACATCATGCTGCATTTTAATGGGGACTAGGTCTGCTTCTGCAAGATCTAGCGGTGAAGGTCCTAACCCTGCTGAATTTAAGTCAAGATTTCACCAAGTGAATTATCTGAGAATTATGGATTCCCTCCATTCCCCTTCACTTCTTCCTTTAAAGGAAGAGACATATTTATGGTTTTAATCTCACATAAAAGCTTCTCATCTCAGAGGGATTTTTATGTAAAGTACTGCAATACATTTGGTTTTAAACAATTAAACACTCAAACACATCTATCAGAGGCTTTCCAGACTCCACCTCAGAATAAGAAGGATATTCTTCACCAAAGAAACTACTGCATGAAGCACAACTCATCCATTCAAGCAAGAGCACTCACAGTCCTGCATCTGATCTCCCCCAACCACCACCAGCTGCAAAAGCCCACAGCCTCTTCCCTCAGCACCTCTTCTTCTGATTTAAGGCAGGTCGCAGAAATCGGCCTCTTATTTATCTCATAGGTGCACAAAATTAAAACCAGACACATCAACCAACTGAAGAGTGCGGTTTCAAAATAGCCTCCAATTCCTGTGTTTTTGTGTCATGCTGACAGAAACAGGAACTCAGCTTCCTTTTGTAAACTTTGACTCTCAGAAAAACAACCCTTTGCTGAAATTTGGAGGAAGAACTACAGAGCTCTTGCAAGAACTACACCCTCCTTCAGAGGGTACTGAGTGGCATTTGGCAAGGTCTCTAAACCTTCATGGCAAGGTTCACCAACATGTTGAGGTTACCATTTCACAGCATCTCGAGCCAAAGGGAATGTGCCTTTGCTTCTCAGCCACTCTAATGCAAACTTTAAACCACCTGTAGAGGTAGATTTGCACTAACGTGTTGGACTACAAACAGAAGTGCTGAGGTGTAAGAACACTGCCAGCGGGGGTGTGCGCCTATTGCCAGCTTGCCAACCACATTGTGCGAATGCAAACTGCTGGGGGAACTATGAAGGAGAAGTCTTACATTGCCACACCAAGATAGGCTGGAGCTTGTTTGTGAAAGTCCTGAATCAAAGAGTTGGTGTTAAATTACAATCATTAACTCATGCTAAGAATACAGCTTCCAGAGAATCTTTCTTATCAAAAATCTGAATTCCTTTGACTTCCATATTCTCTACTTACTTTTCAATTTCCCCTGAGGAATCAAGAATAACATCATACAAGAAAATAAAACAAAATTTAACCTAATTACCTGGAATAACACCCACAGATAATTACTACTTAAAACACACTTTAAACTCACTATCCAGTAATATTAGTTTTCCTACTCTCTTTATTCTGGCTCAAAGTAAACAAGAAAGCATTTAAGACTTCTTTCTTTTGAGAATACTTTTATAAGAACCCAAAGCCCTCTACAGTGTTCTAGACCAAAGAGCCAAAATTAGAGTCACTGTAAAAATAAAGTAAAAGTTGTATAATATTACATTTTTCCTCCCTCCTTAGTTCCCTTCTAAATGATTCAGAAAAGACAGGCAGCTGAAAAACAAACAGCAAAAAGCATTTAAAAGAGAAAAAAACTTACTTGGGTCAGACTGAGATTTCAGCATGCCTTCAATGTCCATGGTGATTTTGGAGACCTGGCTATTAAAGTGTTGCACAGAATTTTTGAGGCCAGAAATATCAGTGGAATGAGACACTATAGTCCCATTCATTTCACGGATGCAGTTCCATAAGCTGCTCACATGCTTATTCAGACCTTCTTTTATCTTCTGCAAGTTACCCGAGACAGAGTCCAGCTTGCTGCAGACTTTTTCAACATGTGAGACTCTGCTCTCAACATCCGAAACGCCCTCCTGGATACCTTGGGTCTTCTCTTTGCACTTGCTAAGATCATTCAGGACATGGTCATTCAACTGTTCTAGTCTCTCTTTTACTTCACCACAGCAGTTATCACTGGGGTGAGCAGTCTGGTTTGCAAATGTCCTCTGCATTTGATCGATTTTCCGGAAGACACCTCGTTGTGTTTTTCTACAGGTAGAATTGACACCCAGAAGCTGCTCTTTGCAGCTGCTCAAGCCATCCTGAAGATTTTTCATATCTTTATCCATGACATTTAGACTATACCGGAATACACGTACATCTCTCTGCATTTTCTGGATGTCACGTTGGTTACCCTTAATTAAGTTGAGCTTCTCATTAAGAGAGCTATTTAGAGACTGCAGGAGAACAGAGTTATTACCTATTTTAGAAAGCAAATGACTGTATTTGTTGTTACAGTTTTCTAGCTCTTTCTGAATGTCCTCCATACCCTGTGGTGCAGACTGACATTTCTGTCCGCAGAGGTGTTCAAGTGACAGTAGTTTGCTCTTCAGGAAATTTATTTCTTCTGTAAATTGTTTATTTGTGAATCCTGCATCACTGGGCAAGATGAGCCCAGGATTAACAAACATTCCATCTGGGTCTGTGGTATTAGCAATCTCTAATATAGTGCCACCCAGCCTATCTTCTAGTGCCCGCAGCTTTTGATCAAACAAGTCTCTCAATTCATCTACTTCAGCAGCTATGGCACCACGGAGAGTTTCCTCAACGTAAAAGCAATGTTCTTCAGCATTTCGTTCTGTAACATTCATCCTCGCATCCAGCTCCTCCAACCTCTCACCAAACATGTCTTCTAGATCTGGAGTTGATAATCGACTGATCTCATTATCTATTCGGACATTCAAGATCCTGTGTGCTTCCGCAACTCTCTCAATCTTTTTATCTAAATCCTGTATCTGTTGGTCAAGGTCATTCCTCTCACCCTCCTTGCAACAACTGGACTTGTTTGATGGAATCTGAGTTCGGAGTGTATTTATTTCTTTCCTCAAGTCATTCTCTTTTCCCTTTATAACATCAATTATTCCTACACAGTTACTGTCATTGTCATCACACTGCTGCTGGATATCCTGTAATTTGTATTCACAGGAGCTCTTCAGATCTGCCATTTTCTTTTCAAATCCTTCCAGTAGCTCCTGTCTGAGGGACTCAAATTTGGAGTCTATATACTCCTGATATATGTTGTCACTGGGCATTGTTACTGTAGGTCCTTGTGCTGCCTCCTGCAGTTGTTTTAATTGCCCTTCATAGTCTTTAACTTTTCCATTCAGTTCTTCCAGCTTGTCATTCCTCATCTTCAAGGCTTCTTTGACATCAGCTAGCTCAGACTTTAGATCTTCCATTTCAAAATCAATAAAAGGGTCTTTCTGATCTTTATTGTTGAGCAGTCCAGGCAGATGAATAGTGTCTGTTTCACCACCAACCGCACTATCAGGCTCTGGGCGGTCATAAAGGTTGTTCAGCCAAGTGACCAACATTTTACTAGCATCTTCTTGGACAGTCAACTTTAGATTTTCATTCACACCTGCCACAGAGGACTGAAGTTCAAGCACCGATCGTGTAAGCCTAAACAATTCATCCTCAAGAAACTGCATTTTCTTCTCATATGGTGGAGGTTCTGGCTCTTCTGTTGGTTCTGCATCTGTTTCATGGAAATAACAGACAAAGCCTGGATGTAATTATTCCCAGTGGTATCTGTTTTAATCAGCTGAGGCTAATTTCACTTTTCTTTAAACTGAAGAATGGTTTAAATTGCATAATTCTTGTTCCCTTTTCTATTCCTGTTTTCAGTAGTTTATACTTAAAACATTATCAGAACACTCCAAACTAAAAATTTTAGCGCACTGACCAACTCCTACCAAGACAAAATGGCGATAACAAAAAATCAGAAAGCAGAATCCCCCTTCTTGTTCAGCAATGAATCTAATCTATAGCATACATGAGACCATTATAGAGCCATACACATCACAACACAAACACCTATAACAATAATTCGGGAGGTACAAACACCTATAACAATAATTGCTCCTGAATTCCCACTGAAAACTTAAGTGGCAACAATTTATGTGCCTGAAGTGGGTTTATGCTTCAGTGTTCTGCTGAACTGGAATCCAAATGCACATACTGGATGGGGTTCAAGAAGATATTCCAGTTATCAAATTGCTTCAAAAATACATAATTATTCAATACATATTTAAGTAGGCAATGAAAATTTGTATAAAAGCATAAGCTTCACACATCCAAAATGACTAGATAAAATAACACCAGCACTCTCCTCAAAAAAGTAAACGGAGTTAAGAAGCAGAAGCTAAAAAGAAAATACACTTCTTAAAATATGACAGAAAATAGACACACAAATTGTTATCATTAGAATAACTCTTTCAAATGACAAGTGGGGTTAACAGTTAAATCTTCAGACAAAATAATTTTGGTACTGGTTCCAAGCTAGTTATATAGTGGACAGCATCACTGAGATAGGGTCTGAAGGACATACAGATGGATTTTTTCCTAAGTTCTAAACTGGATTTCAGCTTAAAGACATTACAAAGCAGGAGGGAAGTCACAGATGTACTCTCAAGACTGGCAGGGTGGCAGATTCCTTTAATAATAAAAAAGTATGCGGAGTGTAGCTACTAGATACACACTGGTCTATTTTTGCATTAAATTGTGGGTATCTTAGGGTCAGAGCAGAAAGAAAATCTGTAGACATAAGCAGTGTGCAATTTTCGTAAAGATATCATTGTGGTTTATTATTATCTTCTGGAAATAATACTTTAGGTGGGCTAACAAAATATTTTAAAAGCTTATTTTTAAAGCACATATATAATCTATAGGAGTGGTCCGACACAATGTATTCAGTCCCAATCCATCCCACTACACAAAACCACAAGGGGAAATCTGACTAAGCACCATACGTGACACTAACCTCCAATGATGTTCAAAGAAGTCCTTCAGAAGGAAACATCTGTTTGTCATTTTTTGTTAGTACAGAAAAAGCACAGGACTGAGTAACAGCATTCCTTCTTATTCCTTTAAAAGACACTATCTTACACAAACAAACATTATTCACTCTTTAAGGTATTTTTTCAGAAATCAAGGTTTATCATTCCCCTTCAGTGGTAAGGTAAGTAATTTAACATAAATCTGTAAAATCTGCACATGCTCTTGAACAAAGGAAAAACTGCTCTGGAGCATTACATATCATTAAAATTAGTACCTGTTCTTTTTTGATTTAGTAACAGTCCCTCTCAAATACATCTTCTGTGCTGAATACTGAAGAAACCACAAAAAAACTCCTGTAAAGTCTTACAAAAACCCCAACCTTAACCCAAAGGTTTTCCTGAACCATGAGTAGGCAGTTGGTATTTATGGCCAGTGATCTACAGCCACCCCTCCATTATTCTTCAGGAAATTCTCTCTATCAAGGCTGCTAGTGCCTGGCTATTATTTTCCCACCACACCATGTCTTCCATATGGCTTTTGTACCTGCCAGTTGCTGAGTTTAATAGAAACCATAATGGTTCTTATACTTAAAAAGACAAAACAAGAAACCAGACATGACCATGCATACCAAAATTCAAACAAAAAGTTACCTAAGCCTTTCTTCACAACAGCTTTTGCTGGTGTTGTGGGACGACGAGCAGTGTTTGGCTTTTCTGCTGGGCCTTCTTTGCAGTCCTCCCCTTTGTACCCAGGACAACATCTCCATTCCAGCTCTGTTACTGTCTTATATGCAACTGTGTACCGAGGTCTGAAACTTGTCCGGTATCTGCCGAAACAGAAAGCATTTTAAACAATCCATAACCTAATCTGCTATTTAGATTAAAACAAAAATTAAAACTTTTTTTTATTAAAAATAATTCTTTTCATCTATGATTTATTTTGTCCTTCAAATATCAAATGAACAAATGTTTCTACCTAGGTTTTAAAGTTACTTGCCCTCAACACAGTCATGTCAGGGAGAGCAAATATGGCCACAGAACAAGGGCTTTCATGTATGAGCAGAGGGGTAATATGATGTGGGAAGCGAATTTTCAACTCATCAGACACTGCTAACAGTGACCACCAGTGTATTACTCTATAAATTCAAAAACCTTTTTCCTCTGTTTTACATTGCAAACCCACCCACAGGGCTGCTCTGGCAGCAGCTCTTCTGGACATCAAAAATTGTTTCTGCCTTTGTCCCACCTGCCTTTCCACAGTCTCCACACAAGCCATTCCTCAGAATCCGTATGTAAGGAGCAGTCAAAACTAAGAGGAATATTACAGGAAAGGACAAAATGGTGAAAGCATGAGTCAGATAAGGACATGAAGAGTCAGATGAAATGCCACAACCAACAAAGGAATCTTTCCTACTTCACTAGTTAAGATGAAAATGGTCTTGCAGACAAACCTATGCACACATTACATACATAAGTCTTAAGTTACCCCAACTAATCACTCAAAAGTTAATAAATGGCAAACTGATTCTGGTTGTGCAACTTTCTTTAACCACAGACTTACTCCATAACTTTCCTCCAGCACGTGTACCCCATGTTCAGCTGCATTCACACACTAAGGTATCCCACCAGACCGTAAGCAGAGGCTGTGCTGTTTTAGAAAAACTAAATCAATTTAAGGTACCATTTTGGGTTGAGAGAGGAGGAATATAAGTAAAATAGGAATTTGCCACATGAGCTCTATAAATTGGTATACCTGGAATATGTAAGAAACAAAAAAGTTATCTCAATTTCTCATATTAACTCCTTTCTTTTATAAAATTAGTATCATACTACTAACTTTTCTATGGCCTTTTCAGATCTTCTTAAGGTTATTTCAGATTAGACAACAGTTTGCATGCACTAATGAACAAAAGGCTCACTTCACAGCTGAGGTGTCCCTGAAGTAGTGGTATCAGCAGAACAAATACAGGACAGCAGCAAAAGACTCAGCTCTGCAACAGATTTCACTCCTAGCCTGGCCAGGCTCATAGGGAGTGTATTTTGAGACAGAGAATACAGAACAGAATGGGCACCAGAAGCAGGCATGCTAACCAGACCAAAATCAATCACACGTTTCATTAAACACTGCCTTGTATTAATATGCAAAATTCCTTACTGGAGAAAATAATAAGCAATCAGCTACCAAATGTAGACTTACACTGACCGTGAAAGAGTTCATATTATAAGTCAAACCGCTACTCTTCAAAGCTTCTCTTGCCATGCGTGTAAATAATTACTGAAATAATTCTGTATACTTTTATTCACCTTTCACCTTCAGAGACATAATTTTAATATAATATCTCACATCTGATAGCCATTTGCTACCACTATCACTTTATCTACGATTTCTCATTTAAGGGAGAAAAAATTAACTAGAGACTGTCATATTTTTTCCAACTGTTTGGGGGCCAAAGTGTAGTTTATTCTAATAAACCCCTCTGGATTCCCTTCTCCTTGTGAATCTTTACAAGGAGGCAGGGGCAGGCTAGGCTGTAGCTCTGTTGATTAGCTGCTTGTGACTGCTGTAGTTTGCTGTGGTTGTAAGCTTTCCAGATTCTGACTTGAAGCGTGTAAACACAAGAGCAGGTTTCCAATCCTGTTTTACCTTCACAAAACCATATATATGAAACAGCAGTAAACTGCACTCCAGCTCATCATTTCTTTTAAAGTTTTCACTAAAACATCTGCTGATTCTGTCTGCAAATGTGAAGTACAGACATCCCCAAGGTCAAGTGCTTTAAAAATTAAGTAGAGAAGTGCAACGTAGAGGGCACCACTGGGAAGGACAACATCCCAGCCACCCAGGAACTTCCTCTTCCTTCTCCCTTAGCTAAAGTATTAAACTGTATCTTGTATAGGTAATTTGGGTTTGATCCCTTTCCTTCCAACTAGCTGCCAGAGTCAGAGGATGGAAAGGATTAGCTAGATGCTTTAGTGTTTGGAAGTGGTTTTGAGAGTCATTACAAGCTCTCTCACAACACCACATTACTGAAATGCAAACTTTGAACTTCCAGATAAATTTTCACATGCTGGAAATGGTCGTACATACTTTCCTCTGATTTCCATAAAATACTTAACTTTGTGTGTGTTCCTCTCTATACTTTCAGGGCCAAACTCCTTCCTCAAAATTACAGTATTTCAATTGTCTTCAAACACCATTATGCTTTTCCATGTTTTCTTAACAAGGTTTTAAGAATATAGCTGAAACATTTTATAAAAGGACCAAGAAATACTTTTATGCAAATTGTGCACATCTACACTCAAATTATGGCAGGAGGGTTTTCCTTGTACTGTTTCTGCCATTCTTTTTATACCTTCTCTATAGTCATGTTCATCAATGTGGACACCTTCAGATGATATAACCAAATGCAAAAGAAGAATTATCAACAAATTAAAAGAAATTAAGCTTAGTATTTTCCATATGGGCAAATTATAAAACTTTTCCAAACTCCATCTTAAAAAATAAGCAAGCTTGACATTCTCACTCTTTATTTCATAATTTCATGATCCTAAAAATCATAATATAGAATCATAGAATAGTTAGGGTTGGAAAGGACCTTAAGATCATCTAGTTCCAACCCCCCTGCCATGGGCAGGGACACCTTGCACAAAATGTTTTCATATGATTTAATACAAAAATTATTTGAAATGCAGAAGAATTCTCCCCTTCTAAGTTACAAAGTATGAACAGAGTGCATCTACAACTTTAAAAATGTTGTAGCAGTCTATTCCTTACAAATTCTTTCAAGTCTGAGAGCTCAAGCAAATACATGAATTGGATCTGTTTTGATTTCAGCTACAGGACATCAAATGCAGACCAACCTGAATCCTAAACTACATTTCTCCTGGAGAAAAATAAAGTTAGAATCAAAATGCTTCAAAATCTGGATGTAGAACAGCTTTCACATTTTACATCTTGAACTGTGGTCACAGGACAGCTATGCTCATGGATGGCTCATAAATTAAACTGGGGTTTACTTACCAAGAACTACTGCTCCTTTCTACTCCCAGTCCAGCTGAATGGATCACACAGCTAGTCCCATTTACTTCAGCAAAGCTAATCATGTAATGCTGGGCACAAGGAACTTATCCTAACACTTTTCTAATTTGAATCCAGTCACATAAAAGTTTCTTAAATATCACAGCTTCACAGCTATAGCTTCTGCGCTGATGATATGCTTCACACACAGCTGTGGATGTTGCTCATACAAGGAATGGTGTCACTGTGCCAGCAAGACTCAGATGCAGTCATAAATGGCAGTCACCAGCATGCATCCAGCTTCTCAATCATACAAGTTTTTTAAAGGCAGAACTTCTCTCACTCAGTGGATTTCCGTGGAGGAGCTGGAGACCTCCAGGATCTTGCCAGGATGTAACAGTCTATCAGCAGTGAATGCAGTTATATTCTTGGTTACAGTTCTAACAAAACAAACCAGAAAGTTCTGCTAGGGACCGCATCCTGAGAATAATTTGTCATTCTACATGTTTTAATGACATAGGAGTGGGAGCTACGAGAATATACAAACCAGACATGTCTTTATATATATTTGCAGTATTCTGGATCCAACTGCTCACTCAGTCACAGCAAACATGTTACATACAAGTACAAACACACAAAACATAACATGCCCAAGTTTCACATCTTTTTACCTTGTAGGTGTGAAAGTTTCCTAGTGAGACAATTCGGTCAAAAGGGTTCACAAATACTACAAATGAAATAATTATTTTAGAATGCATGAATAAAGGGTGATTTTAACAGTCTAATCTTTCCTTGCACCAGAGAAAATAAGAACATCTGGGTTTTAGGAATCTTTCCACAACAGGCCTACAACTACCAACACCTACTACCTTCACCATGAATTCAACATGCCGATCAAATGAGAAAACACATTCAGAACGCTATGCAAATCTCCACTTTTAATATTCAAGTATTTCACAGTTCAAATAAAGTTGTATAGTGTGGAAATATTTCTCCTTTTTGAAAGAAAAGTATTTTCTTAGGAAAATGCTTGATTAAAAATATATGTTTGCTGCAAATGCGAGACATTTTGACTAGGCAATGAGCTATAAATTTCTTGTGCTAAACCACAGAAGGAAGCAGTTAGCAGTGATATTTGGAATGTCACCTAATAGCGATAAAACAAATCGGAAACATTTGGACAAAACTGGTGGGAAAACATATGGCTCAGTTCTGTAACTAGATATTAACATTCAACCTTTTGTGAAATGCAAGGAGATAAGTGCCACCACATCCTCACTGTGAGCAAGGGACTGCAATCAGCATATAGTTTCTACATAAGTAGTGTATAAAATGCTTATTCTGAGCACAAAACTTCAGAGTTGGTCCAAAATTCTGTAGTCACTGGAACAGGTCCATAACTTCAGCAGCCTGCAAATCACAGGCTTATTGAATAGGAGATAACAGATTGTCACTGTTTATTGCTCTAACCACTCTGGATCCATTCTTTGTAAATTACATAGTCTGCTCTTGCATGTCCCAGACACCTAAATCTTCAATATATTGCAAGGGGAGTGCTGAAGTAGCACACAGACACCCCACAAAATACTACCTAGAAGCTGTAATTAGATGCAGTCATATTTTGACCAAGCACTTTTTATTCTGTAGGCTGCAAAGGCTTGCACTGAAAATATACCTGTTGACCATTTATACTACACAGTTACTAAACTAGAACCAGTTGTTCCCAAGTTTTCTGTTTCCCAAGAGTACAGGCCTAATTCCAACCTCTATAAATGACAGAAGAAATCCTAGTTCTACTGAAATCAGGAA